CCACAAGTTTCCCTTACTTGGGCACTGAAGTGGTGGAGTTCGGTAAGCATCGACTGGGGTCAGCTTAGGTCATGATTCCAGGGTTGGGAGATGGAGCCCCGCATTGGGCTCCACACTCAGCAGTTTGCTTAGGATTCTCTCTCCCTCTGCTTCCCACCCTGCCCGCCCATGTACATACATGTTCTCTCTAGTAAATAAATCTTAAAAAAAAAAAAGCTTCTTTTACTCATTTTATGGAGGCTTTTCAACCTCTTTTAATCTTTGAAATGCTCTTACCATTACGAGTGTAACTAAATAATGTAATGATATGTGCAAATGAGTATGACATGATGTGACACATTTATTAATTTTCCTTTTATTTATAACCAATCTGCTGACTCGATGAAATATTAAGCAAAGCAGCAGAGGAATATCTGAATTTAAAAATACTGCAGATAGGGGTGCCTGGCTGGCTCAGTCAGTAAAGCATGTGACTTGATCTCAGGGTCATGAGTTAGAGCCCTGTGTGGTGTAGAGATTACTTGAATAAATATTTTTTTTTAAATACTGAAGATAATGCTCTATTTTTAGTCTGGATGGTAGGTACACTTGCATTTATCAATATTCTTTACACTACTTACGTTCTTTGGTATACAACATTTCATAACAAACTATATAAAGTGAAGAACCAGCAGCATTCAGGTCTTGAGAGTTTCTTCCTAAGAACTGAGAAAGGATTCTGGCTGCATGAAAGAACTGGCAAACTTATAAAAATAAAAGGCCTATTAGTATAATCATTAAAAATAAGCAAACACATAATCCCATATAAGAGAAGTCTTATACATCTAACATGTATTCCACTGGATAAACCACATGTCTATGCCATGTTTTGTTTTTCCATTCATCCACTGATGGCATTTATCTTTTGGCTCTCAAGAGCAGGAGTACAATTTTTTGCTTAAACTTTTTTCAATTCTTTTGGGTAAATATCGAAGAACAGAATTACCAAGTCATATGGTAATTCTGTTTAACCTATTAAGTAACCACCAAACTTTTTCCACAGCAGCTGCACCATTATGAACCTCTAGCAACATATGAAGTTTCTGATTTCTCCACATCCTTCCCAATATTTATTTTGGGGGGGGTGAATTTTCTTTTTATGGCTGTCCTATGAAGTGGTATCTCACTGTTTTATGTTTCTCTAATGACTGCTGTTGAACATCTTTTCACATGCTTGTTGGCCATTTGTATCTCTTCTTTAGAGAAAGGTGTATTCAAGTCCTTTGCCCATTTTCAATAAATAATTTTTTTTTAAATTTACCACATTTATTTATTTTTATTTTATGATAGGCACACACAGAGAGAGAGAGAGAGAGAGAGAGAGAGAGAGAGAGAGAGAGAGAGAGAGGCAGAGACACAGGCAGAGGGAGAAGCAGGCTCCATGCACCGGGAGCCCGACGTGGGATTCGATCCGGGGTCTCCAGAATCGCGCCCTGGGCCAAAGGCAGGCGCCAAACCGCTGCGCCACCCAGGGATCCCTCCTTTGCCCATTTTCAAAGTGGGTTTTATTTTTGTTGCTGAGTTGCGAGAATTCTCTGTACGTTGTGGATATAAATATAAGGTCCTTAACAACTTCCTAATGTTCTCTCCCACTCTGTGGGTTGTCCTCCCTATCCCTTGACAGGGTCCTTGATGCACAAATGTTTTACATTTTTATCAAGTCCAACTCTTCTATTTGTCTTTTGTTCCTTGCTGTGCTTCTGTTATCTCAAGACTTGATAGTCAAATCAAGGTCATGATTTATTTGTTTTCTCCAAAGTGTTTTATGGTTTTGTTCTTCCATTTAGGTCTTTCATCCATTTTGAATTAACTTTTGTATATGATATAAAGGGCCCAACTTCATTTTTTTTGTACGTGGATATTGTTATCCTAGAACCATTCATTCAAAGGTTTTTTTCCCCTAAGGAACAGTCTTGCATTCTTTTTTTTAAAAGATATTTGAGAGAGAGCACAGATTAGCAGGGGAAGAGGCAGACGGGGAGGGAGAAGCAGACTCCACTGAGCAGAGCCTGATGTGGGACTCAACCCTATGACCCCTAGATCATGACTTGAGCAGAAGTCAGACATTTAACTGACTAAGCCACCTAGGTGCCCCTCCACATTTTTGTCAATAACCAATTGTCCATGAACATGGGGGTTTATTTCTGGACTCTCAACTCTATTCCACTGATCTCTAATAGGTCTAATCTTATGGCTGGCACTGCAGTCTTGATTACTACAGCTTTGCAGTAAGTTTTGAAATCAGAAGTGGGCATCTTCCAATCTTGTTCTTTTTCAAGACTCTTTTGGCCATTTAGGGTTCCTTGCAATTCCACATGAATTTTTAGTTTTTCCATTTCTACAAAAAAAGGGCTATTGGGATTTTGACAAGGATCACACTGAATCTACAGATCACTTGGGGGAGGTACTGCCATCTTAACAATATTAAGTGAAAGAGGATTTAATTTTAGCAGAATTACAAATGCCATTATCAACTTAATTGGCAAAAATGCTGTTTTGCAGTTGAGGACAGTACACGTGCATGGAACCTCTCCTTAAACTCATCTAACAAAACTAATAGAACTATATCACACAAAAGGTAGCAGTGGTAGACAGGGAGAAATGCAGCATAACCCAGAATGATTTCTGTACACTCTGAAACATAAAGCAGTCATTCTGACTTCAACAATTTTAGCAGTGTAGGAAACAGGATTATACAACAGTAAATAAAAGTTTTTATGACCAAAGAACTGAGAAGACAGACAATTCTCCCCTTGTTCAATATGCCCTTTCCCCAACTCCTGCCAAGATAAATGAGAGAGAGCTGGCCAGGTTTTGGTTTTGTGATTTATAACCAAACCATAGACCCGGGACAAGGGCCTTTCACTTCTTCTACAGAGCTGTTTAAAACATTAACTCAGTGAAAGATGCCCAAAGTTTCCAAAAAGGAAACATTCCAGGAGAGTAAGAAAGTGATAATCAGCATATTCAATTTTTACTTATTTCCCCTGGACCCAAAAATGATCTATTCCTAAAGGCTTTGAAAACAGAGCCTCTACTTGGAATAATGCTTACACTGCGTCTAAAATTTTCCACACACTTCTGCAACCATTTTCTCTTTCTGATAAACTTTGTAAGGTTTACCAAACATAAGGACAACCCTAACCTTTTCAGATAGTAAATGTTCCTTCATGTCCCTGACTTGAGTGTTTTAGCAGTGCTGTTCTGCCACGAAGGCTGGCAGTTAACATGTAGTATCCTCGATGAAATAACATGGACGTAGTAACTTTGTCATGTCTCTCAGTTTCATCACATTAGGCTACTCCTGCCTAATTGCAATGGAACAGTGTGAGCCTCAGAGCTTCTGCTGGAGTTAAGTCACAATAGGGTCCAGGTCATGGGAGCTCCCATGGTTCATCCTGGGCCAAAGACAAAGTTGCCCCAGAACTCTGTTCCTTGAAGGGACAAACTGTCAAACTCTAAATCCCAATAACCTCTCACCCAGCTTTTGGTATCTCCTTTACACTTAGCCTACAGGATTTGATCAGTAGGTATCAATTAAATATAATAAGTATCAGACTCTTTTTTAAATTTTTATTTATTTATTTATTTATTTATTTATTTATTTATTTATTTATTTATGAGAGAGAGAGAGAGAGAGAGAGAGAGAGAGAGAGAGAGAGAGAGACAGGCAGAGGGAGAAGCAGACTCCATATGCACTGGGAGCCCGACGTGGGATTCGATCCCGGGTCTTCAGGATCGCGCCCTGGGCCAAAGGCAGGCGCCAAACCACTGCGCCACCCAGGGATCCTAAGTATCAGTCTCTAATCTAAAGACTATCAGAATCACCTGTGAAACTTTCAAAAGCTACAGGTTGGAAGGATTGCCCAAGATCTACTCAGCAGATCTAAGGGTGGTATCCAAGTATTTCTAGCTTAACATATTCCACAGGTAATTCAGTTGAGAATCCAAGGTTTAAAGAATGCTTTTCCTAAACTAGACTTCAACTAATTTTGCTTAAAAGAATAATATGGCCAGATTTTTTTTTTTTTCCATGAGGGAGGGTTTTCTTCCCTGGGCCTCCAAGACATTTGAATCCTTTTTTTTTCTTTTTTTTTTTTTTTTAAAGATTTTATTTATTCATGAAAGAGAAAGAGAGAGAGAGAGAGAGAGAGAGAGAGAGAGAGAGAGAGAGAGGCAGAGACACAGGCAGAGGGAGAAGCAGGCTCCATGCAGGGAGCCCGACGTGGGACTCGACCCCAGGTCTCCAGGATCCCGCCCTGGGCCGAAGGCAGGCGCTAACTGCTGAGCCACCCAGGGATCCCGACGTTTGAATCCTAAACTGGGCTCAGGCCCTGCACTTCCAATCTGACTAGAGAAAAATCATCACCACCTTTATGACTGGCCTTCCTATCAACCCAACCATGTGTGTTAATTACATTTTTAACATTTTTCTGTACCTTACAATGTTTTGACATCTTAAAAACCTTGCTGGTAGAGGTGGGGGTGGGGGATGGGACAGGGACCGGACTGCCCTTCCCAGGGCTCACTAATTCCTAAAAATGATAATCAACTTATTGGGAGCAGCCTCTCACAAGCAAACCAACTCCTTTAATGCTCACAGACCAAACCAATGATTTCTCTGGCCCTAAATCATCCCAGGGCCAGGGACCAAGCAACTAGAGACCACCCCTATAGTCCAAAGCCCACCAGAATTATTCAAACTAGCCAGTCCTAAACTGTTTTCTCAGGCCTGCCTTGCCTTTCTCAAGGAATAAAGGCTCTGACCTAGGCTTTCCCCCATCTCCTGACCAGAACCTTCCCTGTGGTCCCATGTAGTGTGGCATACCCTCTTCTCTCTGGAAATGTAATAAATTCTTCCAATGGCATTGGCTGCTGTGTGTTGTCACCCACTCACCCTCATAAATTAAAACTCTGCAGTATAAATGAGACACTCTACCCCAACCATGCCTCCGTGCGGCCACTCTTCTTGTGCTATTTATTGAACCCAATCGGAAACCGTATTACAAAGTAACTTCAGTTTCCAAAACCATACAGAAAAAGGTCTTGGTAGTTCTATTCACATTTGAAACTCAACACTCAGCATGTAAACGTAATGTGACCCAGCAATTGTAGACTTAGGTATATACTCAAGAGAACTAAAAACATACAACTCCTACCACAATGTTCACAGCAGCATTATTCAAAACAGCCAAAACTCCACCAACTGATGTGGAGAATGTGGAATATCCATCCATACAAGGGAAGCTTCATCGGCCACTAAGTGAAGAACCAGGGGTGTCTGGGTGGCTCAGTCTGTTAAGTGCCTGCCTTTGGCTCCAGCTGTGATCCAGCCTGGCTTCTGGCTCCCTGCTCAGTGGGGAGCCTGCTTCTCCCTCTCTGCTGCTTCCCCTGTTTCTGCTCTCTGCCAAATAAATAAAATATACATATAAGAAAACTGAAGAACCAATTCATGCTACAACATGGATGGACCTTAAAAATATTACGCTAAGTAAAAGCTGGACAAAAAAAAAAAAAAGGGCTGCATATTGCACAACAGCATTTATAGAAAATGTACAGAATAGGCCAATCCCCCGAAACAGTGGTGTGCTGGGCAGAGGGGAACGGGGTGTACCTGCTCCTGGGTGGGGAGGGATTTCTATTTGGGGTTACAAGATGTTCGGGAATGACGTGGTGATGACTGCACGACCTTGGGAATGTGTGAAAATTCATTATACGCTTTAAATTTTACGGTAAGTTACATCTTAAAAGCAAACCCAGCTAAACGTATTATCGTCGGTCCAAAGCTCCTCCTCCTGTGTTCATTAGTTCGGTAAACGGAACCACACTCCACTCCAGAGGCTCAGGCCAGAAAGCTAGAAATGTTAACCGGATCGCCCAGGTCCTTTCTCACTTTCCGCACCGACTTCCACTCGGGGCCAATCTCACGTCCGCGACTCCAGCATCTCCCAGGGCCTCTCCCGGCCTCCGGCCTGGCCTTTCCGGATCCTTCCTCGTGCGCCGACAGGGTCTCCCGCGGACCTCCGGGCTGGGGCTCCGAACGCTACCGGCAGGTGGAAGGCAGGTCCTCACACGCGAGCCCGCCGCGCACCCTCGGGCGGCACGTGAGCCCCCCCCCCCCCCCCCGGGCCTCCGCCCGCTCGCTACCACCTGGGCCGGGAGGCTCTTCCGCCCGGTAGGCCACGCTCGGTGCGTCTCCACACCACCCCTCCGGCAGGTGCGCTCCGAGGGGCCGCCCCGGCCTCCGCAAACATTTCCCGTAGGAACCGCGGCGGACCGAGGCGGCGCCCTGCGCTCACGCTGCCTCTTCCTCAGCACCTCACAGCCTTCGCGGGGCGCCGCGCACACCTGCGGCCACTCGGGCCTCGAGCGCCGCCCTCAGCCGCTCCCCTGCTGGCGCCGCCCGGAAACGCTCCCGGCCGCGCGCCCGGGCCGCGGAGGACGACGGGAAGCGGGGCTCCCGGGCGGGGCCGCGCCTGCGCGGGCGCTCTCCTCCGCAGGGGGCGCCGGTTGGCGCATGCGTAGGCGCGAGGCTCTCCGTTGAGAAGGTGCCTCGGCTGCGCCGGAGGTAGGAGGAGTCGGGTTTTAGGGTTAGGAGCCTGCAGTCTGGAGAGGACGTCCAGTCACCTGGGGCCTTTCTCGCCCGCGGTGTGGAGGCTGGAAGGAGCCGCGCTCGGGCGGAGGGTCCTGGGGCCGCCTGGAGGGAGGAAGGGCGAGGGGGGATCGGGTGTCCACCGGGTCACAGCCCGGGGGTCCGGCTGGCGATCGGAATTTGCGGTGCGGCTTGGTAGCTGCCAGAGTCGTTGGCGGTCGCCCCCAGGCCGAGCCCCTGCCCGCTGGCCGTGTGTCACCGGGTCCCGGGGGGGCGGGAGGGTCCGCCCCGCACTGCCCACTCATTCATTCCGCGTCTGCCGGCGTAGACGCGAGTCCCCAGCCCTCCGGAAACTTGCTGCTTCCTTCTGCACATTCGGAGGGAGTGCGGACAGGACGTGGGCTGTTGTCGGACAAATGTCACAGGCCCCGTGCACACCCCCGCGGCGCGGGGGGTGGCATCTGCTCTAGCTCCCCACGTTCCAGGGCTCGAGTCAGGCGCCCAGACGCGGTTCCCTCCCTGCAGTATCCTCTCCCACTGTTCTGAAGTCTTTACAAATCAGGTGCCTAACCAGCCACAGGGAATCCAGAGTAGAATAGGTGAGTCTGTGCCCCCCTGAAGTTTTGAGCCTAGGAGGAGACAGACAGTAAGTGCATAAGAGTGTACGTGCTGATGCCCCAGAACCACCCGCTTGGATGTGATCCCAGCTCTGCCACTTCAAAAGTTGCGTGAGCTTAAGTCAGTCCCTCATTCTTATGCCGGACCCCTGGCTGTTAAGGGATGAGGGTAGAGCCCACGGAATAGGATCGTTGTAAGGGTTACATGAGCTAGACTTCTAAAGCAATTAGAACCGTGCCTGGCATGCCATAAGCATTCAATAAATGTTACTACAAATGAAGGTAACTAGTGATAAATGCGATTGTAAAGTGTGATGATAGAAAAAAAGTGGGATTGGAGAGGGTCCACTTGGATAAAGGATGAGGGGACGCTTCTCTAACAAGGTGACACGGAAAGATGAGGATGGGGCAGCCATGGGAAGTAGATTACAGGTATGCCTGTCTGTCCCACTCCGGAAAAAATAGGTGATTAAACGGATTACTCGGATGGTGGAGATTGCACTTTCTGTCACTGGGTCATTCCATTTTGATTTTTTTTTAAGATTTTTATTTTTATTTATTTATTTTTTTTGTTTTTGCCAGAGAGAAAGAGCACAAGCAAGGAGAGCAACAGAGGGAGAAGGAGAAGCATGCTCCTGCTCAGGGATCCCAGGATTCCAGGATCATGACCTGAGCTGAAGGCAGATGCTTAACTGACTTAGTCACCCGGGTGCCCCTCAGTTTTGATTTTTGAGTCCCGCTAAACTGTGCCAGAGTAATCATGCCCATAAGACCCAGGCTTTGCGGTGTTCACCATTCCAGTCACTTGAGTTTAGAGTTCTTGCTAGCATGAGAGAGGGTGGAGAAAAGTGGCCCCTTTTTTTTTTAAGTCGCCCTTTTAAAATTTGAAAACATTGTATCAGTGATGGATGAGCCTCCTGTGTTCATCTCATTTCTTCCCAAGTATCCAAGGGCATATTCTCTCCATTGGCCACCCTCTCCCCTGGCCCTGCACTTTTTCTGCATTTGGCCATCATCTTGTTTCTGTGGTGACTGCCCTTCATGGGACTCATTCACTAGATTTCAGTAAAAACAATACTCTTCCAAGATGCTCATGTTCCTTGATGGGTTACTAGATCCTTCCCCTTGTGTTGTGTTGTGTTGTGTTGTGTTGTGATAAACTCCCCATGAGTTTGTTGTCAACCAGGCTGTACCTGAGTATTTGACACAGGTACTGTTATTCTGAGGACTTTGCCCATACTCCACATCCTCTTGTACCTTCCTGGAAGAAATGGCATAGAATGCAGTGTCTGTCTAATAACATTTAGATGTTTTTGATTTTTCACAGATGTGGCATTAAATAAACCAATGTGCTTTACCATTATGGAGATTTTGGAGAATCACCCGAGCATGGAGTTCATATGTATTCTATCTCAGAGGCATCTGTTGGACCACAAAAGCTCTCCGATGTGAACTTTGAATGTGCTGTTTTAACAGGGACTCAATCTGAACAAAGACATTTTGAATCCTTATGAAGGGAAAAGCATTACTTTTTGCTCAGTTGTGCAAACTCTCCAGGTGTCCTAGTGAGAAGCTAAGAGGAGCCTTCATGGAGCTGCAGGTCTGAATGAGGCCCTGCTAGGCTCATTCTCGGCCCCCCAGATAGACCTCACACCTCAGAAGACCACCCGCAAGCCTTAAAGCTGGTCAGAGGATGGATGAGTCAGATGATGATTTTAAGGAACTCTGTGCCAGCTTTCTCCAAAGGGTGAAAAAGAATGTCAGCAAGGAAGTGTTGGGTGAAAGGAAGGGACAGAAGGCCTCAAACAGCACTCAGATAAGCAAACCGAAAAGGACCAAACCAACTGGGACCAGGGGCAAAACCCTTCCAGGTCCAAGGGAGAAGAAAACTTGGTCTGGCAGCCAGGCCCCAAGGACTAAAGAGCAAGGGGCCCCCAAGCAGCAGGAGAGTGAACCAGCTCCCCCCAAGAATGGAGAGGGAAGTGTGCTTGCCTCCACTCCACTCCAGAAGGGTGCACAAACCACCCAGACAGGTAACTGTGCCAGAACCACTGCCAGGATGTTTGCAGAGGTGGTGGTACTGTTTTTAAGCAGGGGTCCGAAACTTTTTGAAAAGAGCCAGAGAGTAAATTATTTTGGCTCTGCAGCCCCAGTCTCTGTTGCAGCTTCTCAACTCCCTAGACAATATGTAAGCAAATGAAAGGGCTGTGTTTCAACAAAATTTCATTAACAAAGTCAGGCAGCCTGCCTAAGGACCATAGTTTGCCAACTCCTGTTTTAAACAATGGTCATAAAAAATTTAACCCCTGCATGAATATTCTACATGATTATGTTTGGGGCCCTCTGCTCTTTTAGAGGTTCCAATTAATGTTTACATTATGTAGTTGATGCAAGTTACGTGAACACCAAAAATAATGCTGCTTCTCTCATTTTCTTGAATTCAGTCCAGAGTGGGTAAGTCATGGTGGTGCAGGCCAGTTGGGTAAGGCTGCTCAGAAGGCGGTAGGAAGCTGCCAGAGAGGTCTCAATCCCTGAAGAATCTCCAGGTCCTTCCTTTCTCCTCTAAACACCTTTGTTCTTTTCTTTTTTCTTTGTTCGTTTGAAGCGGGTTTCTTACCCTGCTGCCCTTGGTGTACTGAACCGTATGTTTACCATGACTTCTTCAAGCAGAACTGAGAACCAACCTTGCATAGGATCTTTGGGCTCCTGGGTTCTATTTCTAAATGTTTCTCACCTTCACTTCCTGATCTTAAATGGTATTTTTTATTAGTGTGGTCAACATGCTGTCTCAGTGGAGTAGTGGTAAAAACTTAGCTCACAGAGACTGTTGTAAGGCTTCAGTAGTGTTACTGAAACGTCATTGGTCCTTCATGCCTCTTTGGGAGCAGTGAAAGTTACACATGATTCCCCAGAAGACCACACCCCCACACACCTGTGAAACTGGCATAAAATTGCCAGGGCTTCATGAATCCCCATCAGAGGCCATCTGTGGACCCTGCATTACAGGAGGACTTCTGACCTAGGAAGATAAAAATGTTTGTCATTAATATTTCTTTAATAACAGCTTCATAGAAAGAATTCACATTCTATAAAATGCACCCTTTTAAAGTGGACAGTTCACTGGTTTTAGTGTAGTCACAGAATTGTGTAATCACTATCACTAGCTAATTTTAGAACATTCTTATCGCTCCAAAAATAAACCCTGTGCTCATTAGGAGTCACTGTCGTGCCCCTCTGTCATAGATATTTATGACAGGTCTATTTATATTACCTCCAACGGTGAGGTTACCAATAGTTGGTCCTATTCACAGTTGAGAGTTAAACCTAAACTAGTTGGTAAACAACCCCTTGAAACTTGGGTTCAACCTGTATCTGGGAGAAGAGTCCTTGTTTCTCCAGCTAGAACAGATGCCTGTGAATATTTTCCTCCTTGCCAGAGGCTGCTCCGGACAGCAACTCCCAGCCCCCTCCTTCCTGTCTGACAGTGACAGCGCCAAGTCCCTCCAAAGCCCGGACGGCAGAGTTGGTTGTACAGCGAATGCAGCAGTTCAAGAGGGCAGACCCTGAGCGTTTGCAGCATGCTTCAGAAAGGTGCTCCCTGGAGGCCACGCTTGAAGAAAACACCCCACGGGGCCCTCCAGAGGAGATGACAGCAGGGCATGGTATGATGGGAGTTTTATATATTCCCATCAAGGATAAATTTGAACCCTGGAGAAAGAGGGGCAGGAAGGAACCCTCATTCTTGAGTTGCGTGGTCGGGGTGGGTGCTCTGGCTGGCACCGTACCTTGGCCACTTCATTGTATTAGCCAGAGAATGAAGGGTCCCTTGGGTCATTTCTCATTTAGCTTCTTTGACAAAGTACCTCTTTCTCTTATTTTGACTTTTTATTATGATATTTTTCCCATACAGAAAGGTCAAAAAAATACTGCAATGAACCCCCATGCCCTCAACCTGTATTTAACAATTATTAACATTTTGGCATGTATTTTTTATTTCTCCTAAGTATATCTGATTCTTCTATACCATTTCAAAGTAAGTTCTAGATGTCATGATGCTTCCCCCGCATACATCTCCTACCTGATCATAGTGCTATTGTCACACTTGATTCCGTAATACTGCCTGGTGTCCAGTTCATATTAAAATTTCCCCACTTGTCCCAAAGACAGCCTTATAGATGGTTTCTTTTTTTTTCTGAACAAGGATCGGTCAGAACCATAAGTCCCACACTGCATCTGCTATAGTTCAGTAGTCTTTTAAAGTCTAGATTCTAGAACAGTCCCCTTGTCCTGTTTTTTTTTTTTTTTTCATGATACCAACTTTTGGAAGAGTCCAGGACAATTGTCTTTTTAAATTTCCCACTTTTAGATTTGTTTGATTGTTTCCTCATAGTGTCACATAACCACTTCCTGTAGCCCTGTGGTATATTACGTGTGAGTAAACCAGAGGTCTGGGGGGGCCTTGGGTGAAGGCAGGAGGCACCAAGCGTGCATGCAGGTGCCGTGCAGTGCACCCTCCACCACCCCAGGAGGCACGTCATACCCCTGGTTCTGTTCTTTCCCCCCAGAACAACGTGAGCCCTCCTCTCTGGTGAAAATACACAGAAAAGATATAACTAGGAAGAAACTGTATCGATGGACCTGCAGCTACAAACACATAGTCTCCTGGTAGTGGGTTTGCAGAGTTCACCCTGGGAGCACTGAGGATTCTCAGGCTACCTCTAAGGTCCACACGGGCAGAGGGGACATCCACCATTGCATCACCCCCTGTGACTACACCGGGGTGCGTTGGAGTTGCTCAGCTAGGACACGAGCTCAGCACTTGCCCTGCGTGTGACTTGGTTGTTTGCATCGACCTTCAAAGCATTCCCAGTAATGCTCAGGGCTCGAGACAGAGAAACCATTTCTTTGTTGAGAAAAAAATAAGGCACCAAAATGAGGTGTGATGCTTTTCTGGCTTCGGTGGAAAGATAGGCCACAGGAATATTCAAGAACTGGGGACTTCGGAAGGTTTCCACGTCTGTGAGTGCCAAGGGCCTCTCTAGCGAAAGGTCATAGCAGTAGGAAAGGTTGAGCTTTGCAGGGGAAGCCTGTGCTCCGTGGAATGGGTGGCGGCTCGAGCAGGAGGGGACAGGAATGGTGCATCCGCCAGGGCCTGGTTGCGACAGTGGCCGAGGCGCTGCCGAATCACGGGGCCTGGGAGCAGCGCGCAGTGGGAGGCCTCACGGGTGGCTGCCCGGTGCTGGGTGACAGTGGCCGCATGTCCGCCTGGTGCTGCAGGAGCGTGGGCAGCGGGGCCGCAGCCCTCATGCCCCTCCCTCTCCCCCCAGGGCCGGGCTACAGGCTCCCCGTGCTGGAGAGCACCCTGCAGCAGGGCCTTGGGCCCCACGGAGTGGCCACAGCCACACCAGAGGGCAGCCTGGAGGAGGCGGGGCTGTTCTTCTGCCAGATCTGCCACAAGAACCTCTCGGCCATGAATGTGACGCGAAGGGAGCAGCACGTGAACCGGTAGGAAGACAGACTGGGCAGCCATGACCAGAGCACCTCTGCATAGGCCTCAACCTAGCTCTGCCATTTCATTGGACAGCTTTGAGCTGTGATTGAGCTGTGATTCCCGTATTATGCAGCTCATCCTTTATTTTTTAAAGATGTTATTTATTCACGAAACACAGAGAGGCCGAGACCCAGGCAGAGGGAGAAGCGGGCTCCCTGCGGGGACCCGATGCGGGACTCGATCCTGGACCTGGGGTCATGGCCTGGGCCTAAGGTGGACGCTCAGCCACTGAGCCCCCCGGGCGTCCCAGGTCATCCTTTTAAAGTTAACAATTCAATGGCTTTTATTTATTCACAGAATTGTGCAACCATTACCAAAATAAGTTTTAGAATATTTTCATTATCCCAAAAAGAGACCCTGTCCCCATTAGCGCTCACTGCTCATTCCCCCACTGCCATCCCCTCGCAGGGACTGATATACTGTCTCCGCGGACTTGTCCGTTGGGGACGTAAGCAGAGTCACGTAAGACGTAGCCTTTTGTGTCTGGCTTCCTTCCCTCAGTGTAGTGCTTTCAAGTTCAGGTTGGATCACGGATTGGAATCTCATTCCTTTTTACAGCTGAATAATATCCTGTCATATGGGCAGACCACGTCTTGTTCATCGTATAGATTGTCTCTGCCTTTTGGATTTTGTAAATAGAGCTGCTGTGACCACGTGTTTCTCATGTTAGAGTATCTATTCCCACTTCCTTAGGATACACATTGCCACTGTTTGCCATGTCCTTGCTCACTTCAGCCAGCAGATACCTAAATTTAGCATTAGAAGCTGACTGCAGGCTATGTGGAGGAGTGGGCTATGGCAGGACAGGCTGGGCCCACGGCCTGTCCATGCTGACGTGGATGCACGTTACTGGGGAGAAGGTTCTCTTATGTTTACTGTCTTCCTCCAGGTGCTTGGATGAGGCTGAAAAGGCACTGATACCCTCCATACCTCGGATCCCTGAATGCCCAATTTGTGGCAAACCCTTTCTCACCCCAAAGAGCAGAATCAGCCACTTGAAACAGTGTGCAGTGAAGATGGACGTTGGCCCCCAGCTCCTGCTCCAGGCCGTGCGGCTGCAGACAGCTCAGCCTGACGGGGCCTGTAGCACACAGGCATCAAGGTGAGTCAGATGAAAAGGAGGAAAATCAAAGAAATACTTGGATCGTTTCTTTTTAACGCCTTTTGTAGTATTAGAGAACAGTAGAGCCCGAGAACCCTCCTTGATTCTGGAAATGAGATGTGAGGAGGAAATCCGGCAGAGTCTCCACCAGGACTGAGGAGGAGACAGATTCTGTACCCTTGAAGGCCTTGAAATGGTCCACGCAGGTGTCTTCTGGAGGAGGGAGGAATCTGGTAACACACCTGATTGCGTCCATTCGCATGTGGTGTGCCACAGCTTCCACCTCCGTGCAGCCCGAGTCTCCTACCATTTGGTGAAGAGGACTCAGTGAGTTCACACAGTTGGTGAGACAGAAGCACAGGCCTTTTTTTTTTCTTTTCTTTTTTTAAACGTGCATTAACTAAATGCTTACGTGTTACAATAGGAGGTCTTGCTCCTAGCTGGTGCAAACCACAGGCACATAAGCAGCTCAGCTCCCCTCCCTACTGCCCGTGGTGCTGTGGATGTTGCGTTACAGGAACCAGTGTAGGCTCTGCACTTCTGTAGGTTTGGGACTTCTTCAAGAGCAAAGGGAAGGCCAAGAGTGGTGGCCCTGTTTGTCCTGGCCACTGCCTTGCACACAGGTTGTGGGCATCTGAGCCAGGCCCATGGTGAGACTGGGGTGGGCACAGGTGGGTTCTTAGCTGGTGAGCCTGTCCATATCGTAGCACATCAACACTAGCATCTCAGAATCGGAAGCCTTAAGGCCCTAGCACAGACATTATGTAAGCCGTCGCTTGCCTTCTGCGAGGACTAGATGGAAACCACCTACTCAGATGAAATATATCTGCTTTTTAAATACCTCTGAGAAGGGACACCTGGGTAGCTCAGGGGTTGAGTGCCTTTAGCTCAGGGCATGATCCCAGGGTCCTGGAATCGAGTCATACATCGAGATCCCTATGAGGAGCCTGCTTCTCACTCTGCCTGTGTCTCTGCCTTCCTCTCTGTGTCTCTCATGAATAAATGGATAAAATCTTAAAAAAAAAAAACTTTGAGAAGAGAAACAAGATGTGTGTGGGTCCTTCTAGAAGGTTGATAAAGTAGAAAAACTATAGCAAATGGATACCCTCACCAAGGCTTCGAGCCTCCTCTGCCAAAGGCCAAGCCTGGGGTGTATGGAACTCTGGAGTAGTCAGATGCTGGGACAACCCCTTGACTTCTGGGAGGCTGTGGTTATCAAGTGGGGTTCCCAGGAACTTGAACAGAATTAGGAGTTGCTCAGATCTTCTGAGGTGATGCCTGAGATTCTTGAGCCACCCCTGGCCCAGGAGAAAGCATAAGCTTCTATAAAGGGTGCTTTTCATAGCATTCTGACAGCTGGGTTTGAGCTCCCAATTTCTCTCTCGCCTTTGCCCTCCTATTTCTTGCTCAGTCTGTTGGGGTTCACCAGGTGGTCTAGGTTCTCCAGCTGGAAAATCCTTTAAGCCAATCTCCAAGTCAAATGAGCTGCTGCTATACACTGACCTCCAGGCTGGCTGACCATGTTGGTAGTGGAAGCTGGGAAGCCTTTCCTTCGGGCCTGGGGCAGAGGCTATGCCCACAGGCCCTGCTGGAGGAAAGGGATCCTGTCATGGCCAGTGTGGCCAGGACTGCCTGAGGGGCACCTGAAGGATTGATGAGCTGAAGTTGGTGGAATCCAGGAAGCTGACTCCACCAAAGGGTTTGGCCACACCTGGAGTGTGCAGGTACCACTCAGAGCTTGATACACCTTCCAGGAACTCAGCAGGGTAGTGTCACATGGAAGGACCAGACCTCCCCTCTCTGGGGCGCACTGAACTTGGCCCAGGATCATGTGACCTTAACATGAGGCAACAGGATGAGCACAGTGAACTCCCAGAGCCATTGATGCCTCTGTCTAATGGGTCTGTGTTTATCCCCTTTTTCTTTCCAATACAGAGGAGATGGGGTCTGGGCCTCTCTGGTCCAGCAGGGACGTCCCCGGCACAAGAAGTGCTCACACCCTGGCCTCACTAACCTTTCTGTTTGGCTGCTTTTTAAGCTTCAGCAATCACGGAGGTTTGAAGCGGAAGGGAGCCACCAATAGGAAGGAGCTGCAGAAGAAGCGGAAGGTCAGCGAGCCCGAGGTGCCATCTGAAGACTTGCTGGTGGCCATGGCTCTGTCCCGGTCCGAAATGGAGCAGGAGGCCGTGCCCCCCGTGCTGAGACTGGAAAGCGCTTTCTCCGAGAGGATAAGACTGGGGGCAGGTAGGTGCGGCGCCAGGCTGGCACAGCCTCACCACTCCTGCTGGGCCTCAGGGTGTGGGGCAGCTCTGTCACTGACCCTGTGCTTCCGTTCACCCCAGAAAAGAAGAGTCGCAAGAGGAAAGCACCTGCCTGCCCTCCCCTGTTGTTACTCCAAGACCCGGAGACCACAGGGAGGCAGACCGAGGACCGGGTGGCCCAGCTCTTTGCGGAGGAAATGGAGCTGTCCAGCACACCGCCACTTCCTGCGAGCAGGATCCTACAGGGGGAGCTGGAAAAGGCTGGCCAGAGTCTGCAGCCGCCCGGAGGGAAGAAGAACTTTCTGTGGGAGGGCAGTGCCCTGACTGGAGCCTGGGCTCTGGAAGCCTTCTACACCACAAGCCTGGTCCCTCCCCTGGTGCCCCAGCGGTCTGCCCCTGCCGAGGTGTGTCCCCCGCTCTGGGTGCACGGCGGGCTCTGGGGAGAGGCTGGCAGCCAAGACAGCAGGACGGGTCATCAACAGAAAGTCTGAAAAGGAAGGAAGGATAGGGGAAATCAGGCATGCCGGCTGTAGTGTGTTTGTCTGTACGGCAACTGATGGCTCTCCTGGGGAGAATGGGAGGACCCCTGGTTCCCGAATGTATCCTGTTCCCGAATGTATCCTGTTCCCGGAGAGTTTGGTTGAAATGCAGTCCAGGGCCCCACCCCCAGGGGGCTGGCATACTGGATTCTGAGGGGTTGTCCCCGTGCCTGGGGTGGGGCCCAGGATCCAGACAACCCTGATGCAGGTGGGCCTGGAGTCACTATGTACTTGAGGCCATTTAGATAACATTAGGGGGACAGGACCCTCAGAGACTGTTCTGTACATGTAGCCTGCAACAGGCATGGCCTTCACTGTGACAGAGAAGCCTGCTGGTAGACGGTGATGGGAGAAAAGCTTCCCAGGGTTGCTCTGGGCTGTGGCCGGCATTCTCAGGACCCCTCTGTGTGGTAGCTGCTGTAGTGGCCACGGGGTTACTTGGCTTCCTGACTTCTTTCAGGGTCTTGCCCAGGACTCCACGCTGCCACCGGTGCTGCTTGACCAGCCAGAGCTGGGTGTGCGAACACCACCTCGCCACAGTGCCCAGCCTGTGGGCTGTGGCCCCCGGAACCCATCACCCTCTGCCAGCCAGAGAGAGCACCAGGCCCTGCAGGACCTTGTGGACCTGGCAGGAGAGGGGCTGAATGCCACCCCGTGGCCCTGCAGTGGGGGCTTGGCCAGCTCAGGAGTGGCCACAGGTGAGAACCCAGATGGGTCACCAGGGCCGGCCCTGCCCTCCCACCCTTCCTCCCTATGGCTGTGGTGGGACCGGCTAGTCCTTGTGGTGTGGGGACAGCTGCTCCAATCTGAGGTCTCCTGGCTTGTCCCCAAATAACGGGGAGAACACAGTCTCTGTAAGTGCTTTGGATGTCGTACAGGTGAGTCCTTCACAATTTTCTCTAACTTTAAGCAAGGACAGAGCCCTTTCCAGAGCCAGTAATCAGGTAAAAAGCATCTTCAGGGAGCCTTTGGGGTAGGCCAGCTGACATCTGCTGGCGTTTCCCGGAGATTGACGTTGCCAGGAGGTGATTGTTCTTTTGATACCTGAATCCTCCTTTCAGGGATGGATGTGTCGTCCACTGGCCTTCCACCGACTGGGTTTGTCCTGCCACCTGAGAAGCACCTGGAGGGGGGCGGCCAGGCTTCGGTAAGCACCAGGGCAACTGCTCCCCACTTGCGGTCCTGTGCTCTGCACAGTCCGCTCACGGTCAGCCTCCAGAGCCGCACACGAGTCCGCTGGCCCCAGAGACAGCCCTTGACCAAAGCCAGCCGAGAGCCCGTGGGAGCCTCCTATCCCCCTCGAGGGCTCTGCCATGAGGCTTTGTCCCTCTGTCATTGAATTCTGAGGGTACCTCAGCCAAGCCCTTGGAGCCTGTTTGGTCCTGAGAGCCGGCAGGGATACCCATTGCTCTGGGAGGTGGCCCCAAAGTTTCACTCATTTGCTTAGGACGGACTGCCTCTCTGATGTGCAGGTCCCTGGGTGGCCTCCAACTAACGCTTCACGTGCTGGAAGTCGGGCTTTCATCCTGTTAGTGTAGTGGCATCAGCTACATTACCTCATCACGGTCTACCTGGAGACTGTGGCATGTAGTCAGAGGGGGACCGAGACTCCTCTCAGTCGGGTACCCGAACATCGTGGGCTCAGCGTCCCTGCCTGACGCATCGGGGCTGCACACAGTGCTTGTAAGCGCTCGGCCCTGTGTGCACCATGCTTGGCCCAGCTGTGGCCTCACTGCGGCCATTGTGCCTCCACTTGCTCGTCCCTACCCCATGTGAGGCCAGGGGACGGGGCATAATGGAGAATTTGGGAAAGAAGCTAGCGTGGTGCTGTTCTGCACCACAGAGAGCTTCAGGGCAGCGGGAGGTGGGAGCCAGCCTGGGAGCCCTGTGCACAGGAGCTCAAGGCGCTCCTGAAGTTGGGGAGCTTGCTTGAGCCAGTGTGCACCCTCCTTCCAGCTCACCCTCGGTTTGCTGCTGGCGGACTTCAGGGCCATGGTCAATAACCCACACCTGAGCGATATCCAGCTTCAGACGGACAGCGGGGAGGTGCTCTATGCACACAAGTTCGTGCTTTATGCCCGGTGCCCCCTTCTCATGCAGTATGTGAGTACGGCCCATGCTCCTTCTTTCCATGCCTCCCCCACACCCCTGTGCACCCCCCACGCGTGCACCCACCTCCCTCCTCTGTTACACTTGCGGCAGTGGGGAGACAGATTCCAGGTGAGGAGGTGGTCCGAGGAGATGAGTGGAGGATTGGGGAACATCAGATTTCTCGATTGAATCAAAATCCATTTTCTGTAGAACGGTTCCCTTTTCTTCTATTTCTGTAATTATGAGGTTGTCATCGACCTCTTGAAGGCTGAGCTGCAGACACATCTTTCTGTGCTGACCTGTACTGACATGCATCTGACTTGAATGTTGTGCTGCGGCAATCTGGAAGCCAGCTGCTGGTCTCTACCAGAAAGTTCTAGTGCCTCTGATGTGTCTGTCAAAAGGGAACTAATGGGGTGTTTGAATGTCTTTCACAGTCTGATTTTGCAAACAGAAGTTTGAGGGCCTGACCGCAGAGTTCCTGACCAGCAGGCGGGTGGGACCTGGCCAGTGCCAGTGCTGGGACATACAGAGCCTCCTGGGCCCTCTGTGTTGCCCCACTTCACACCCATGTTTTATTTCATTCTCAGGTGAACAGTGAAGGCTTCTTCGCTGTGGAGAATGGCGATCTGAGGAGTCAGCGTGTGTTGCTGAGTGACGTGAGCTCCGAGGCCATCCATGCGCTCCTGCACTACCTCTATACCGCGGACCCCGGCGTGCCTCCCCAGCTGGTCCCCGACCTGAGCGCTCTGGCCCACAGGTCTGAGTGTCTTTGCCATTTACCTTCACAGCATCTCACGTTAACTGCTGAGGATCAGCAGGTTGGCGGTTCACAGGAGTGTCAGGCCTGCGTCCTTCCTGCCCTGTTAACCCCAGTGACTCAGCCTGGGACATGGTGACTGGCAGTCTGGCCGGAGTGGACACTGGCAGGAGAGCCCAGCACGGATTGAGGACAGCCTCTGCCGGGTCACGTGGCTTTTAGCTCCCTGGGTGTGATGAGAGGGTGGTCCTCAGCTCAGCTGCCCCCAGATGCTGCCTCTCTTCCGTTGTTCAGCCACAGAAGCTCAGGGGGGCTGTTATGTCCCACGTCCCAGAAAACAGAAGTGGGTAGAGTGTCTAGTGCGACTGCCATGGGTTAGCATGTATTCCGCTCATCTGCACAGCGTCAGGAGAGGTGGCAGGTGGCTCCACAGACAAGGTGTTCTGTCTCCTGACAAGGTTGAGGGCCCCTGGGATGAAGCCATATTCGCCCAAGGCCCTGGCATAACCTTGGGTGCTCTCCTGGGAAGGGATGAGCTCAGCCTCTGGGGTCCTGATGTAGCAGTCAGACCAGGGAGCCTTCAAGGAGGCTGCAGGCTGGCATGCCCATTGGGCCGGGCTGACTGGGACAGGTCTGGTCTCTGTGGTTTGCGTCAGTCACAGAGCCTCAAGTGCCTTTCAAGGCAGCATGCTCTCCTTGTAGCAGCACCATTCTCTTGTCTTCAGTTCAGCCCGATGCGCCCCTTTGGGCAGTGGAGTCAGTGAGCCCTGCCTTAAAGGTCCGGGAGTCTCTTCTCAAGCTCAAGGTGCTGGGGTGTTGCTGGCTGAGAGCATGGCCCATGTCTGCTGGAGAGCAGGGAAAGGGTCAGAACCGACGGTCCTCACCTACGCTGGGGCGCCCAACCACCGCGTCTGCAGGGTAGTGATGCGTGGCATTTCCTCTTGCAGGTTTGGTGTTAGTGAGCTTGTTCTTCTGTGCGAACAAGCACCTGACATGACGGATTCAGAGGACACACTGTGGAAGGAGAAGGAAGACAAGGATTGTGAAAGCCGCGCGGAGAACTTCCAAGAACTCTTGAGGTCCATGTGGACAGGTGAAGAGGAAGAAGCAGAGGCTTTGATGAAACCTGAGGGTTGTGAAGAAGACAGAGAAAAAGTGAATGAGGCAGAAATGGAAGAAATTTATGAATTTGCAGCCACTCAGCGAGAGCTGCTCCGGGGGGAAGGGGCTCCAGAGATCAAGGAAAAAACTGACCCATTCGGGGAGGATGGTCCAGTGTCCGTGCAGATCTTAGGAAGTGACCAGGTTAGTGGACAGCCAGAAAATGCAGAACAGATGGAATCGTCTGGTCAGGGAAGAGAAGAGGCCCCAGCCAAAAGGAAGAGCGCAAGACAGTCCACGCCCCTGCTGCTCAAGGGCCAGGGCGCGGGAGAGAAAGCAGGCTCCCCGGAGGGAGCGCTAGGTCGTTCCGGCTCCCCTCGCCCTTCTGGAGGCTGCGGGCCAGGGAGAAAGGAAGGTGCTTTCTGGCGCTCAGCTGATGCTCCTGAGGCCTGGCTGTTTTCATCAACTCCCAGAAGATGCCCTGGACCATCCCAGATAATGAGCCATCTCCAGGAAGACAATGACACCATCTCGGGAAAGGGGACGGAGAGCCCCTGTATCCCCGCTCACCAGCAGGCGCCCCCATGGCACCCGCCCCTGTCACAGCCCCCTCGGGGCCAGAATCTCAGGGGTGAGTCATCCTTGCCAGTGCCCCAGTCACAAGGCAGAGCTTCCAGGACGGCCTCCCAGGACTCACCATTGAAGCAGAGGAGGGGCAGGAGCCTCCTCACGTTATTTAAAGATCCAGGTGTCCAGAAGGGCGAAGAACATAGTTCCCTGTTGGAATGCAGAAATAAAGGGATTCTGATCTCCCCAGAAAAATCTCCTTCCATTGACCTAACCCAGTCAAAACATAGCTGTTTGAGCTCCAGATCTCAAAATACTCCATCCAGCAAGAACAAAGATGAGATTATCCTTTTATTGGATTCAGATGAAGAGCTGGAGCTAGAACAAACCAAAATAAAGTCAGTTTTTAATGGTCCCTTGGAAGAAAGGAAAGTTCTAGAAGTTAGCCCCAGGCCTTCTGAGCTGTTTTCTGTGATTGACGTTGATGCAGATCAGGAACCTTTCCAAAGTCCAGCTAGAGGAGAGGCTTCACTGCAGTGCGGGGATGGGAGGCTGTCAGGGAACCGGGGCTCTTTGGGGAGCAGAGGGACCCCTCAGCTGCCGTGTGACCCTGACAGCAGCCCTGAGGGGGACAGCACCACGGATATGTCATGGTTCGTGCCTGCCACCCCACTGGCCAGCAGAAGGCGTGACTCTTCTTCACAGACCCAGATAACAGGCCTCAGGTCCCGGGCTCCAGTGGATCAGACGGCTGAGGTCAAGCGCTGGACCCCATTAGAAAATAGGGGTGTGCCCAAAGCTGCAAGCCAGTGTTCCGTCATCACGCCCCCCGTGTCATCCTCAGGCCTGGTCTCCATCAGTGCAGGCAGCCCCGACAGCAGGAGCCCTGCCAGGCCCCACCCTGCGCACCCCCAGCGCTGCTCTCCGGCTCCCTGTCCCATCTCCCATCTGGCCGATTTCACTGGGCAGCCCCACAGGTGCTCGCCGCCAGGGCCCAGCCCACCGAGTCAGGCCATCACAAGTGAAGTCGTGGAGGTGGAGGACAGTGAAGACGAGCAGGAGGCGGCCTCCTGTCAGGCCAACAGCAGCCCCCTGCCGGACAGCGACCCTCCAATTCCGGTGGACGAGTGTCATTGGCATGTGGAGCCCCTGTCACCCATTCCCATCGACCGCTTGAACCTTGAGCGGACAGGCCCCCTGAGCACCAGCAGTCCGGGCAGTAAGGCAGGGGAAGCTCCAGACAGCAGTGGCTGCAGCTCCCCGGCCCTCCTGGGCACCCCCCCTGCCCGAGGGAGCTGCACTAGCCAGAGAAAGTCCCGAGAGAGGTCCCCTTGGGCCAGCGTGCCGGCGAGCAGCAGGCCAAGCTTTTTGAACTCAGCTCTGTGGGACGATTGGGATGGAGAGGAACAGAAGTCTTCAGAGCTCCTTCCTCCTGCCCAGACACTGAGTGATGCTGCTGCTGCTCAGAAATCAGAAGCGTTGGAGATGCCAAGTGAGTAGCAGGGAGGGTGGTTATCTGTTAGACCGTTTTATGCTAAGGGGCTGGAGGGGGTGGCAGGGCTGTGGCTAGCCCCTTCCCCACCCTCCCCTGCAGAGGGAGAACAGGCTTGCCATCAGACATGTTGCTTAGCCAGTTCCTTTATTTATTTATTTATTTATTTATTTTTAAATTTTATTTTTTTTAATAAATTAATTTTTATTGGTGTTCGATTTACCAACATACAGAATAACACCCAGTGCTCATCCCGTCAAGTGTCGTCAGTGCCCGTCACCCATTCACCCCCACCCCCCACCCTCCTCCCCCTCCACCACCCCTAGTTTATTTCCCAGAGTTAGGAGTCTTTATGTTCTGTCTCCCTTTCTGATATTTCCCACACATTTCTTCTCCCTTCCCTTATATTCCCTTTCACTATTATTCATATTCCCCAAATGAATGAGAACATACACTGTCCTTCTCCGATTGACTTACTTCACTCAGCATAATACCCTCCAGTTCCATCCACGTTGAAGCAAATGGTGGGTATTTGTCGTTTCTAATGGCTGAGTAATATTCCATTGTATACATAAACCACATCTTCTTTATCCATTCGTCTTTCGATGGACACCAAGGCTCCTTCCACAGTTTGGCTATTGTGGACATTGCTGCTAGAAACATCGGGGTGCAGGTGTCCCGGCGTTTCATTGCATCTGAATCTTTGGGGTAAATCCCTACCTAACAGTGCAATTGCTGGGTCGTAGGGCAGGTCTATTTTTAACTCTTTGAGGAACCTCCACACAGTTTTCCAGAGTGGCTGCACCAGTTCACATTCCCACCAACAGTGTAAGAGGGCTCCCTTTTCTCCGCATCCTCTCCAACATTTGTTGTTTCCTGCCTTATTAATTTTCCCCATTCTGACTGGTGTGAGGTGGTATCTCATTGTGGTTTTGATTTGTATTTCCCTGATGGCAAGTGATGCAGAGCATTTTCTCATGTGCTTGTTGGCCATGTCTATGTCTTCCTCTGTGAGATTTCTCTTCATGTCTTTTGCCCATTTCATGATTGGATTGTTTGTTTCTTTGCTGTTGAGTTTAATAAGTTCTTTATAGATTTTGGAAACTAGCCCTTTATCTGACACGTCATTTGCAAATATCTTCTCCCATTCTGTAGGTTGTCTTTGAGTTTTGTTGACTGTATCCTTTGCTGTGCAAAAGCCTCTTATCTTGATGAAGTCCCAATAGTTCATTTTTGCTTTTGTTTCTTTTGCCTTCGTGGATGTATCTTGCAAGAAGTTACTGTGGCCAAGTTCAAAAAGGGTGTTGCCTGTGTTCTCCTCTAGGATTTTGATGGAATCTTGTCTCACATTTAGATCTTTCATCCATTTTGAGTTTATCTTTGTGTATGGTGCAAGAGAGTGGTCTAGTTTCATTCTTCTGCATGTGGATGTCCAATTTTCCCAGCACCATTTATTGAAGAGACTGTCTTTCTTCCAGTGGATAGTCTTTCCTCCTTTATCGAATATTAGTTGACCATAAAGTTCAGGGTCCACTTCTGGGTTCTCTATTCTGTTCCATTGATCTCTGTGTCTGTTTTTGTGCCAGTACCACACTGTCTTGATGACCACAGCTTTGTAGTACAACCTGAAATCTGGCATTGTGATGCCCCCAGATATGGTTTTCTTTTTTAAAATTCCCCTGGCTATTCGGGGTCTTTTCTGATTCCACACAAATCTTAAAATAATTTGTTCTAACTCTCTGAAGAAAGTCCATGGTATTTTGATAGGGATTGCATTAAATGTGTAAATTGTCCTGGGTAACATTGACATTTTCACAATATTAATTCTGCCAATCCAGGAGCATGGAATATTTTTCCATCTCTTTGTGTCTTCCTCAATTTCTTTGAGAAGTGTTCTATAATTTTTAGGGTATAGATCCTTTACCTCTTTGGTTAGGTTTATTCCTAGGTATCTTATGCTTTTGGGTGCAATTGTAAATGGGATTGACTCCTTAATTTCTCTTTCTTCAGTCTCATTGTTAGTGTATAGAAATGCCATTGATTTCTGGGCATTGATTTTGTATCCTGCCACGCTACCAAATTGCTGTATGAGTTCTAGCAATCTTGGAGTGGAGGCTTTTGGGTTTTCTATGTAGAGTATCATGTCATCGGCGAAGAGGGAGAGTTTGACTTCTTCTTTGCCAATTTGAATGCCTTTAATGTCTTTTTGTTGTCTGATTGCTGAGGCTAGGACTTCCAATACTATGTTGAATAGCAGTGGTGAGAGTCGACATCCCTGTCTTGTTTCTGATCTTAGGGGAAAGGCTCCCAGTGCTTCCCCATTGAGAATGATATTTGCTGTGGGCTTAGCCAGTTCCTAAACCTGCCTGGATCCCATGGCTTGCCTGGGCCCTTGCTAAAAACCCCCAGCTGTGGACAGTGCTTCTGAGAGGCCAACACCTTAAAGGCAAACACCTCAAACACTTTAAGGCAAACACCTTAAAATCAGGCAAGTGTGGTTCCTCACAGGGTTACATGGAGCGCTGCCATTACGGTCCAGCAGCCCCATCCCAGGGAGCTCATCCAGAGGAGGGGAAATCAGGACTGATCCCTTACACAGACTTCGCAGCAGCAGTCCTCACAGTAGCCACAAGTCCATCAGCTGACAAACGGATAAAGAAAATGTGGTCCATCCATATGGTGGAGGATCGTCAGCTGTAAAACCAGTGTTAGCTCCTGGGTGAACCTTGAACACACGATGCTCAGAGAGGCACAAAGGACCACAGCGTGTCACTGTGTTTATAGGGAATGTCCAGGGTGAGCCAGTCTGTGGAGACAAAGTGGGTGAGAAGTTGCCAGGAGCAGGGGTCAGGGGAGAATGAGGAGGGTGCTGGGTACAGAACTGCCTTTGGGGACAATGAAAATGCTTTGGAGCTAGAGGTGGTGCTTGCGTTGTGAATGTATACTAAGTGCCTCTGAATTGTTCACTTTAAAATTTTATGTGAATTTTCCTCTCAATTAAAACAGCAGCCAGTGGGGTGAGTATGAAGCGTCTGCCATGTGAACCTCGGCCCTGCCTCATCTGCCACCCCCCAAACCCATGGAGGGTGCACTTTCCCAGCTCATGTCATTATAAGAGGCAATCAGAGCCCCTGTGTCAGCCCCTGCCAGGCAGCCCCTGGGAAAGCTGGGAAGGGGCAGGGCGCCACGAAGCTGTGACTGGTCGCAGGGAAGCGGACTGTGGGCAGAGGATCTGCCTGCATCCTGGTGTTTGATTTCCTCCCCAAATTCGAAACCAGCTGGGCATGACTGACCAGCACTCCCAGCCTTGAATGGGGATCAGAACTGCCTGGAGAGCTTTGTGCAACACACGTGGCCAGGCGCCTCTCCAGAGTAGAGACCAAGAATTTGGATTTCTAACCAGTTCCCAGGTGGTGCTGTGAGACCAGGGACCTTGGTCTGAATTTGAGGTGGGCTTCCAGGAGGTGACAAATTTTCGCAAATTATATAAAGAGTTCTGTGTTTTATTCGGGAGAAAGCCTATTCTCATTGGAGTCTCCGAGGGCTCCGTGCTCCTAAAAAGGATAAGAACCGAACTCCATATATTCCTGAGTTGTTTCATTTGTCTTTAAAGTATTGATGCCTTTTTTTAAAAAATAACAGCCTTGTTGAGCTATTATTCACATACCATAAAATTCACCCTTTAAAATACACCATTCAGTGGTTTTTAGTACATGGACACTGTCCTGCAATGGGGGGGGGAGTCCATCACAGGAGTGAAGGAGCAGCACGGTGACTACAGTTGGTATCACAGCAGCACATGGTGACAGATGGCAGCCACAAAACCACCAAACCATACAGTTCAGTGGTTTTTATTACCTTAGTAGTATTGGGCAACCATCACAGCTAATTCCAGAATGTTTTCCCCTGCCCATTAGTAGTCACTCGGTGCCCCTCCCCCTGAGCCCCCAACAGCCATGAATCTATCTGCTTCTGCCCTGTTCCACAGCATCAGCACTGCACAAGGCTGTGGCCCTAACCACGTGTGATGCCTTCCAATGGGAAGACAGTTTGGGAGTCTCGGTGAAGGGGCGGTGGAGGTACCGCTCTCATGGAGCAGAACAGTGACTGGGCTTTGTTCAAACGCAGTATTTCTCTTGGTGATACTGCTGAGCTCAGAAGAGGTAAATCCAGGTCCCTCATGCTGAAACGTGTTTTTCTACCTAGAAGGTGCTCATCGGAAGAACTTGCCCCCGAAAGTGCCCATCACCCCAATGCCAAGATACTCCATCATGGAGACCCCGGTACTGAAGAAAGAACTGGATAGGTAAGTGGTGTTCCTGAAAACTTGCCCACAGGTGGTCCACTCCCTCCCATGTGTGTCCAGGCTGAGGCCAGGAGCTGAAGGACCTGCCGTGGGGCTCTGGCAGCAGGAGCTGCTGGGGGATGGGAGCGTGTGCGACTGCTGGCTTTCCCTACACTGTTCCCCAAACCTCCAGTTCCCTGAGGAGCTAAGAGATGGGACTCCGGGTCCCCATGAGCTGATAGGTCTCCATGTGCCATGTGGATGGAGATGGGGCCCTGGCCTTAAGAGCCTGGATAAGAAGATCTGATTTTTTAAAAGAACATCAAAACTGTCACATCCCAATCAATACTGCTCATCATCTTGGGCACCAGGGCTGTTATCACTACCACCATCGCTAAACCTGGGAACGGCCTTTCTGGAATATTCAGAGTAAGCACAGTTGTATGCAGAATAGACACCCCTGAAAGCTCACAAAAGTCAGGCATTTAAGATTTCAGTTCCACAAAGTCATTATTTAATTTGCTAATAACTGTTTGCTGTGTGCTGTTTCCCCATTTCAGGTTTGGGGTCCGCCCTCTACCCAAACGCCAGATGGTCCTAAAATTGAAGGAGATATTCCAGTATACTCACCAGACTCTGGAGTCAGACTCTGAGAATGAGAGCCAGTCCTCACAAGTGCTCCCAGAGGCTCCGTGCAGCCAGACCCACGCCAGCAGGACCTCCAGGGCTGCTGGCCGTGCCCAGCTGGGGGCCACTTCTGGGCCTCTTCCCCAAAGGTCCAAGGGGTCCACTAAGACCAAGGGCCCCCGACATCAAAAGCAGCAGCCTGGTGGAAGCATCCCTCCGATGAACCTGTCACAGGCGAAGGAGTCTCCAGATCCTGATGGTGATACCCAGCTCCCTGCGTCCCAGGAATCAGTGGCCTCCTCCGTGGACAGCAGTGACAGCTCCTTTAGCTCACAAAGGTAACAAGATGGGAGGACGGGGTCAGTGGTGTCATAGGTCCCCTGACCATGGGATCCATGAGTTGGCATAAGCCAGGCCTGATGCCAACGTTGAGAAAGCCCATTGCCTTCTGGATTTAACCCAAGGAAAACACAGTGGGGCTCAGGGCAATCCCCTGTGAGCCTCCTGAGCAGACCGTTGGAGCACCTGGAGCACCATGTGCTCACCCCACTGGATGCTCTTGGGAGGGGGGCTGACTGCCGGTAGTCGACTGTGGTTGAGGGTCAGATCCTGCTCAGGCTGGCAGCTGGCATACCAAGGACACAGCAGCCTGGAGCTTCCTGCAAACCTCGGCCCCCGAGGCCGTCCATGCCGGGTGTCAGGCTCCCCAGGGGACACAAACCAAAGGGGCTCCTGGTCTCATGGTGCTGGAGAGGAGTGTCACAGAATGTTTTTGTCTGGTTCTTTTCAGTTCTTCCTGTGAGTTTGGAGCGGCCTTTGAGTCTGCAGAGGATGAGGAAGGTGAAGAGGAGGAGAGTGCATCCCAGACAGCCGTGCACGCAGCAGCCACGGAGGAGGCCGTGAGGCGCTACATCCGCTCCAGGCCGACCCTCTACCGCAAGGTCCTGCTGTACCAGCCCTTCGAGCTGTCAGAGCTGCAGGCCGAGCTGAAGCAGCAGGGCATCAGTGTGGCCACCGGGAAGCTGCTGGACTTCCTGGATGCCCACTGCATCACCTTCACCACCGCTGCGGCCCGGAAGGAGAAGCTCGAGAGGAAGAGGCGGCAGTCTGCAGCCAAGAAGAAGGGGGCAGAGCCAACAGGCCGGTCCGCCCCTCCCCACCCCTGGCCTTGAGCAGCCTGTGAGGGTCTGCAGCCCCCCGGCAGCAAGCCAGGCTGCTGTGGGTGTCTCTGAACCTGCGGACCACCTCCACCCGCGGTGAAAGGGGCCATAGCACCAAGCTAGGGCAGCTGTCCCCAACTCCATTTCCTGGAATAGTGTTCGGAGCTTAGCACCTCCGTCAGCACCCACGTTTGTCTCCCTTTAACCCCCACCAAGCCCCTGGGTGCTTGAGAAGGGCTGTGGGCGGCCACCAGGTGGCCAGGTTGTCCTCGTCCTGAGATGGCTGTCTGAGGCCAGCGGGGCCCTGCCCCGTCCTCCTTCCCACCACTCGGGCCATAATCTCAGCCTCCACCAGCACACCAGGTGTCCACCAGCCTCTCACTGCCTCAGGTGCTCTGCTGGCCCAGCCTTCCTGCCCAGACATCTGTCATTGTCACCAGCAGTCTCCAAACTGGGCAGAGCAGGAGGGCCCAGCACAGCTCTGAAGGGCCCAGAATACGCATGTTGTTTGTTAACCGGCTTTGCTGGTTTGTGGTAAGGCTGTCTCCAGCCTCGGGCGGCGTGGGGCGCGGGACGGCCAGGGAGGAGAAAAAGTTTGTGTCTCTACATCCTTGTGAATGTCCCGTCTGTTTTAAATACAGTGCAGTCCATTTTATATGATGTGCAATAAAAACAGGAAGGCTTTACAAGCATCTTCTGGGTGCCAAGGAGGGCAGCTGGCTGCGAGCCCCCTCCCACAGCGCCTGCGCTGCCCCCAGAGCCCTCTCTGCAGGAGGCTTTTGTGCTTGCCTTTCACTGCAAGGGGTGACCCAGGCCCTTGGGAGGTGGGAGGCCACTGGAGTCCTTACCTGGCTTCACTGGACGAGCAGCTCTGGGCGCGCTGGGCACCCTCAGCCCTTGCAGGCAGCCCAGGCTGGCAGAGCGTTACCTGCCGCAGGTTGGTATGATGTTGGCGGAGGCAGTGAAACAGGTGAAAAGCCACAGGCCAGGGAAGGGTGGGGGGAAGCGAGCCCTGGTAGCCAAGGGCCTCGCTGGGCCAGGTCTGCGCCATGCCCCCAGGGGCCAGCGGGGGTCCAAAGGGGCCTGGCCAGCGCCCCAGCCCAGGCGAGAGGCAGGCGGGGGGCTAAAACCAGCACCGCAGTGAAGAAACCGCCCCACCCAAGACCTGGCAGCGTCCAGGCCTCTCCCAGAAGCCGGGCCTCCCTGCTGGGCAACTGCACCCTGAGGCCCAGCTCACAGCCGAGAAGGAAGCGGTGTGGCGGCGCTGCCCTGTCCCAGCACCTGCCGCAGGCCGGAGGAGGGCCCGGCCGTGGGGTGGACAGATGCTCCCTTCCAGAAGTTCTGCCCGGCCTGGTGAGCTGCACGACACTCCTGTTTTGCAGCGCTGTGTCGCCACCTCCCAGGCCTGCCCCTGCCTGTGGCCGACCCGGCCCTGGTCACTCAGGCCAAGGGGGGCCCGGCCCAGCTGGAGCTCTGGCGAGCAGGAAGCCTCGGGCTGCCTCGGCTCTGGGAGGACAGAAAGCCCCAACGAGGGGCACATCCGTGAGAGACCCCACACACACACACAGGTGCGCAGAGCTCGGAACCATGGGCAGCCCTGCCCGGCTGTGGCCCGTGAGGCAGAGGGCAGAGCTGTGGCCCAGGCGCCGAGACTCCCACGGAGGAGGGTTTCCTCCCATGCTCAGGACGCCCCAGCTGTGCAGGGGGCAGAACGGGCCTCTCAGCCTCTTTCATGTGACGGATACCAGGCCCCTGCGGCTTCCAACATCCTGTGGGCGGCTTGGTTTCAGACGCCCTCCCAGCACCTCAGGCCTGGTGAGCACTGCGCCAGCTCCAGGGAGGAGCTTCGGCGGGCTCCTCGAGGGCGACCCCATGCATCTCTGGGGGGGGGGGCACAGAAGGGTGTCGTTGCCTGGCACACCTCTAACCTGCTGCCTCTGTCTCCGCTCCCCTGCCCCCCATCACATGCACACCGCTCCTGAGACTAGACTGACAGGAGCACACAGCCCCTCCCACCTCCCTTTATCCACAAGCTGCTGCCTCATCTGAACCCACCACCCTCCTGCTCTACAACCATCCACGGCTCCCAGGTGGCTTGCTTAGGAGAATCGAGGCACCCACCACTCGGCTCCCACCTCGTCCCCTGCTTCTCTCCAAGGCTCCCTCTCTGTCACATGTCCCTCCCATGTCCTGTACTCTTCCTGTACTGTAATGTTTCTCCTGCTGTCCACTCTGGGCATGCCTTCCCCCTTTGCGCTCAGTGCCACCCCCGTGCTGAGGCCCACCTCTGGGGCCTGAGTGAACTGCCACACCCTGCTGTTTCAGGGTGCAGTTGGCCTGCCTCTGGGGAGCCCCTGTGGGGTACAGCTGGGTCGCAGGTGCCTGCTGGGTGCTGGAGGGAGGAAAGCAAGGGGGAGTAGGCAGGATGATGAGGGCCACAGCCACAATAGAGTGCCAGCCTGGAAGCAAGGGGACTCTGCTCCAGACACAGCAGGGCCAGCTTCCTACTATGTAGCCTTGGGCAAGTCACTGAACATCCCTGCAGCTAACCCCTGAACAACAAAGGTCTGCTGGTGGTGAGACTGTTTTCCTCTATGGCCTTGGCTGGACCTCTCTCCCGAGCATGACGTCCACAGGGGTCCTCAAATCCAGATCTTGGCGGCACCCCCTGCCTCTCTGACTTACAGAGCAGTGAAAGAACTGATCTGGGCAGCCGCAGATCATTGATTTGTCTGAGAAGCTGTTGGCTTTTGAAATGAGACAGGAAGGAGGGTTGAGGTGGAGCCCAGCACAGGAAGAGGTGAAGAGCCCAGCTGCCGTGACAGCGGTGGGCTTGGGGGACTGCAGGAGCTGGCGGGCCGCAACCGCGCTGCCCTGCACAGCCAGCGCCTCCCCATCCTCCCGACTGGGCCTTGCTCCTGCCTTGCACAGATCCCGAGGGCTCGGGGCTCAACTGACTGACCACTGAGACTCCTACGACGTCCCCACCACCGCGCAACTGGCTCCGTCCACTGGAGCAGGGCTGAGCCTGGGAGCGCCGGGATGGAGCATCCCCAGCCCCCAGTCTCGGCATCCCTAAGGCGACGAGGTCCGGGAGTTAAGGTGAGTCCAGGCTGCCTCAGCACAGATGGGGGAGGAAGAAGAGACTGCGTCAGTGACTTTCAAGGCCGAGCTGCTCTAGGGGGCAGTGGCTGGGTGGTGCTGAGCAGGTGTCCCTGTGGTGCTGGAGCTGCTGAGCAGGATTAGTTCACCACGTGGAAGAAACATGTGCCCATGGACAGCCCACGACGGGCCGAGGGAACAAAGCCCAGCTCCTCAGGTACCATTGATGGGCAGGGAAGAGCAGGAAGTAAACAGAAAGTGCTGCAGGCAGGCAGACATGAGGCCGAACAGGGCAGCCCAGGGGTGAGACTTGAGATCGGCAGACCTGAGCTCCACTCCTGGTACCCCTTTCCACCTGTAGGATGGGAGTGACACCACCAGACCTGCCCCAGGGTCCTGAGGGCCAAGGGAGATGGTACAATCAGGCTGGGGCCCAGCACCAGTGTCAGCTCCATGAACACCACCCCCATGTTGGGTGAGCAGCCCCGAGAGATCTCTTCCAGCCACATCTTTGGGTGGAAATGAGGCTCATCATTCTGAGAGAGACAGTAACCAGAGGCCTTCCCAGAAGAGGTGCCACTGAGCTGGGCTGGGGGTGGCTGCTGGCCGTGGGGTCCTCCCCTATGGCCAGGCTCCTGGGTTCCCAGGGCTCCTCTGGGTCTCCTCAATGGGCTCATGCTTTCCCCGAGGTGGGGGCTCACCCTTGGCCATCATAGATGGGGGTGCAGGCTGGGTGCCCCTCCTCTGTCCCAGGGCAATGGCAGGAGGGCCGTGTCCTGCAGCAAAGGTACCACTTCCTCCCACCTCTGGAAAAGGCGACTGGGTTTCAAGTGGTCCATACCCATGGTGCTGGGAGGTGGGATGAGGGCAGGGAGTCGGGAGAGAGGAGCATCCCAGAGGCCAGGCCGGAGGTCAGCACTGCAGGGCCCCCACAGCCAAGAAGTGCGGCAGGGGAGAGAGACTGGCCCCCTGCACAGACCAAGCGATGGCTGGGAGGAGGGCCCTGGGAGGGCAGCAGAGGACAGGACAGTGCTTGTTGGCAGAGACCATGAGTAAATCGGACCTGTGTCTTCTCAGGGATGAGACAGGGTCTGATGACACCAGCACCAGGGAGCACAGGGCCTTAGCTGCGTCCGCCCCTACAGATGCCGCTCTGGAGGATGCTGGGCATGGGGAAGCCCGCTCCAGGGAGGGGCAGCGGGTCCCCCTGTCTGCCTGGCCTCACCCCGCCCACGACAGCTCCACTTTCTACCCACTGACCAACTTCTGGCCTCCAGGTCCTCCGAGGCAGCCCGAGGCCCACTCACCCTCATCTCCTGTGCCCTAGGCTGGCAGGGCCTCCTGCCGCTCTCTGGAGGCTGCCTGCACTGGGCAGGACCTACCTGATGTCCCTGGCGGCCTGCAGGCCCCAGGTCGCACTCCACTCAGAGGCCTGTGCAAGTTCCACCCTGCAGGGCCTGTCCACACAGGCGGCCAGCTAGCCGTCCCTTGCGGGGAGCTCTGTCATCAGCCTCTCATGCTGGCCCTTGTTTTAAAGTGTAAGTATATCTCACGTAACACTTGGGATACACTTACACTGAAAGAATCATCGTTCATCGGAAATTCAAATTTTACTGGGTATTCTGTATCTTAATTTGCTAAATCTGGCAACTCTAGCCCTGAGGTCAGAAGGGCAGAAAAATGGGTGTCTGATTCAGAGGAAGCAGTGGTTCCCAACACAGGCTGCTGGGACTTCAGGGTGTGAGCAGGAGAGTCTCACCCCCCCAGCTTCCCAGACACACTGGGGCCTCACTCCCCTCACTCTTGCTGCTGCTGCTGTCCCTCCTCTGTCACTTGTCCGGCTCACTGGTCTAGCGCTTCTCAGTTCTGACTGCTCATGACGATCGCCTGGGTAGCTTTCAACTACACACATGGTGAGGCCCTACCTCACACCAAACACATCTCTAGGTGGTTGGGCTGCGCCGTGGCTTTCTAAAATTAGTGCTCCACAGAAGCACAATTCCACTTCTGAGTATATATACCCCAAAAACTGAAAGCAGGGACTGGAACCGGTGATTTGTACACACCCATGTTCACAGCAGCATTTATCCACAAAAGAAAAAAGGTGGAAACAACCCAAATGTCCATGGATGGATGAATGAATAAACTAAATATGGTGTGCCCACAAAATGGAACACTATTTAGTTTTTAAAAAGAAGGGAATTTTTATACATGTTAAAACAAAGATGAACTTGGAAAACATTACGCTCAGTGAAGCAAGTCGAACACAAAAATATCACAGATACTCTATGATTTCCCTTATATAAGGCCCCCAGAGTAGTCCAGTTCATAGCGATAAAAAGTAGACGGTGGGTGCCAGGGCCTGGGAGGAGGGAAATGGGAAGGTGGTGCTTAATAGGAGCAGACTTCCCATTGGGGGGATGAAGAATCCTAGAGGTGGTGATGGTCTCACAGCTCTGTAAATGTACTTAGCACCACTGAATTATACACATAAAAAATTGTTACAATGGTAATTTTTACGCTGTGCATATTTTAATCAAAAATCAAATTTTA